AGGCTGTCCGTTGATTTCTTAGAGGTTAAGTGATAGATAGATGTGCAGGGCGAAAAAAGGGTCCAAAGTAGCGTAACCAAATTAAACTGGCCACGCTGGGCGTCCTGCATGCCCTCTATATATATATAGCCCGTGGCGCTGGCCGTGTACTCAGTACTCACCATAGTGCTTCATCCTCGCATAGGTAGCTTGATAAAATGGCGGCGATACCGTTTGTCTTGGTCCTGTTCGTCGTGTCCTACTCCTACACCGCCGGTGCCGGCGCGGCCGTGTTCACCATCACCAATTGGTGCCCGGACATGGTGTATCCGGCCTCGTCCAAGGACGTACTGGGTCTGGGCTTCGGTCTCCCAAGTGGCGATACGATGCATACCGGCGCAAGCGCGGGCAGCAGCGGCAATATCTGGGGCCGCACCGGCTGCACTTTCGACGCCCACGGCAATGGGACATGCGAGACCGGCGACTGCGCGGGCCAGCAGGTTTGCAACGTCCCCGGGAAGCCGCCGGCGACCGTGGCTGAGTTCACGCTCGGGGACACGGTGGACTACTACGACCTCTCGCTTGCAGACGGCTTCAACATCCCCATTTCTTTCGGGTGAGACGACGCCCCCGGCGCACTCGTGTGCATGGATCCCGGCTGCAGCGACGCGAAGCACCGTCCGGACGACAGCAAAGTCCACACCTGCCCGGCCAACAGCAGCTACCATGTCGTCTTCTGCCCCGCAGCTTCAATGCTTTGATCCAGCGATCTGAGGCCGTCGTATGTACGCATGCACCTGACCTGATGGATTGGTGCATAGATATGTATCTCAGGCCAACAGTATACCTAGTATGTAATTGGTCCGCTGTACGCCTGTACCTACGCCTACCCTTTGTGTGTCTGTGTGTGAGAATGTGATTGATGTGAGGATGAAATGCATGTAATCAATCTTACAAATATATATAGAACAAATATATGCATGTGATCAGTTTTATGTTGATGCTACTAATTTGTGTTGTTGTGGTCATTGGACAGAGCAAGGAGATTTGGGCAATCACGGTTAATGGACAAAACGTACACTTGATGTCTGTCAGCACTGATCTTGACGACGGCGTCGAGCGGCAAGCTCGCCGAGTCGCGTTCGTGCATGAGCAGCGGCCGGGCCGTTGTGTATCTACATGCATGTTTGTTTTGCTGGGTCAAGCGGCTGTTGTGGAGATGCAGCACAAGCATATGACGTGTGCGTGCATGTAGTTGGTGGAGAGCAAAAGAAGGATCAATCCGTTTGTGTGACTTGGCCGGCGTGTGCGTGTATGTAGTGGGTTAGCTAGTGCGTGCGTGTGTGCTGTTAGAGGGTGTTGGGTGTGTGTGCACCGGGGTATAAGAACCCCCTCTTGTATTGTTTGTAGTTGCGCCGGTTTGTTGCCGAGCCATGGTGACGGTATGAGCCGAGCCGGGGGTATGTGCCTAGTAAAGTAAGGCCGATCGTGCGGCCGAGGCGCCGTTCGTGCGGCGGGGCGTTTGTGCGCCGAAAAAATCCAGTGTGGTCCTTCTTCCACCTTCGTCCGAGCGAGTGAGAGGAGATGAGTGGTGAGCTGGTCCGGAGTTTGTCCCAAAAAATCCTCGTAATTATAACCGACGAACATCCACTTTTTTCTTAAAACGAAGACACAAAAAACGTCCGGCTTTAAATTAATTAAACCCACCAACACGAAGCATCCAACAATTAAAATAAAGAACACAAAAGGAAGTCTACTGCTGAAGCCCAACAGAGATACATGCAACCAGGCTTTAGCCTGAATAAGATGGAACTAGACGACCAAAATGAAGTAGATCCCCATCAACTTAGAGGCGAGCAGCAATCTGGATCAAGCGAATCCGTTCCATGGCCTCCTTCATCCGCTCAGCGTCCCGCCGTTTCCCCAACGGCATCCAAGTCTAGAGGAACAAGTGGCATTTAAAAATAATGTCAGCAGGGCGAACGTTCACTGAAACGTCTCCATCCGTGACGCAATGCATGTTGCCGGATACTGATCATCCACTTAGTCAGCATGAAGTGTAAACATCTAGCGCGCGGATTTCACACTATATCAGTGTCGATATTTCCCTAAAGGCCGACCGTACTTGCTGGATGAACCTGAAGTTAGATAGATGCACATGAGTCGCTATCGGAGTCGTGGTCACCGCAGAAAGGACGGCTACACGTCTATCAATTACAGATCCACGTAAAGTTATGAAGATCTAATGGTTATTGCTTCTTCATGGGATAGTTATGCAAAATTAATGGACAAATCTTTCTTTTCCTTTTTGAGGATTTTTAGCATCTTTCTGATTTTTCGAGTTCACCCCTCATGCAGTTATAATGTTCAATAGATTCCCTTATTTCTAATTAACCCGTCATTTATTTTTGATTTATAATAGATGGTTGTGTGCATAATGACGATGCAGTGGTCTAGGCTATCTGCTTTTCGAATGAAAATGTAACGATCGCTTTGGGCAGTACAAGGGTCTCAACGGGACTGCATATAAGGGCACCTCCAACGGAGACCCGTGAAGGGGCAGTACGCAGATATGGATGTGGGAGCCGACCATCCAACGTTGCCCGCATACATTTCGATACCTTTTTAAAGTAACCGGGCAAAATTCGTGCAAACACAAGCGGATTTCGTATAAACTGGGCGACATTCATTATATTTTAGACAGTTTTTGAATTGAAAACTATACTAGACTAAGGTAAAACTAGCTTACGGCCAGTGCCGGTGGATAGCCATGCGCACGACACGGATACTCTTAACTAGTCTATGGCTAGCCGCGGCGAATCTCCATTGTCTTCCCCATGTCAGGCAGCCCGCTTGCCGTACTGCCGTGATCCCCGGAGGTATATGCTTCAGTTGAAAGGGCGGCTCGCTTCCCTATATATGTCTGGAAACACTGCTCATCGAAGTGGAACCCCGCGATGTGCTTCAGCCGGAGTGGAAGGGGACGTTGATGGCCTGCGGCCAGGCAAGACACCGGTTGTGTACGCCAGTGCCGCCTCGATGGTGGCCTTCATGGGGCCCAAGCGGTGGTGGTCTCCCGTGTTCTACTTCTCCTCGATGATGGTGGCGATTGTGGACGTGCTGGCCACCGTTTCACCCATCTCCGTGAAGCCATCTTCTTTCTCAATAGGCAGGTCGCGGTTACGCATACTTTGACGAAGGATGGCGCGGTCCCGAGAACGGTACAACACGGCGTCATCCAGGGCAGCCATGATGCCCGTACCGCCGTGCTCCCCGTGTGCCAGCCTGGAGCAAGTCTACACTCCTCGGCGAGCTGGCTTGGACCGGCGAGTTGCTGAATGACGCGCCGTCTTGGAGCTTCTGCATCCACGCGCTGGCGTGCAGCGGCCTTGATCGTCGAGGGTGGAGGAGCAAAGCGTTGTGTAGCTCATATCCGGTGGGCTCGATGGGCCACACAGCCGGCTTGCATGCCAGAGAACTCCTCTTTCTGCTCGCGAATGCAATGGAGACTGTGGAGAAAATAATACAAGGAGAAGATGGGAGCAGAGTGTGGTGCGATTTTTGCCAGGCGTATCACACCATTTAAATAGCTAGCAGACGGCCGAAGCCAACCGGCGTTATGTTTAATAACAGGCGGCTCGCGAAACAGATGTTTGGCCAGAGTAGATTTCTCGGTGCATGCGCTGGTTTTATTAGGGGATGTGTGGTTGTTGGAATGCGACGAGGAGGCGTGTTCAGTCGGACATACCAGACAGTCAAAACATAATAATCATGTGCTATCAAACAGAAAAAACCCTCCAAGCGAGCAGATATTTTCGAGAGCTGGAGCAATAAACAAAATGAGAGAAATATTTTTCTCAAGTTAAATCATTGTTTGAAATGAGTGAAATATCTTTTTGAAATGGGTGAAACAAGTTTTTTCAAATGAGTAAAATAATTGTTTTGAAATGAGTGAAATCAACATTTTGAAATGATTGATATTTTTTTTGAAAATTACTGAAATATGTTATTTGGAGTGAGTGATTTTTTAAATAAGTTATCTTTTAATTCACTGATATTAGTATTTTAAATTGTGTGAAATATGTGAAATGGATGAAATTAGTATTTTTAGATGAGTGAAATTATATTTTTTTAGATGAGTGAAATCTGTTAGTTGAAATGAGTGATGTTAGTTTTTAAAATTCATTGAGTTTTTCAATTGATTGAAATCAGTGTTTTGAAATGAGTGAAATATGATTTTTGAAATAAGTGAAATCATTTTTTTAGATGAGTGAAATATTTTTTCAATAAAGCGAAATCAGTTTTTTTTATTCTTGATGATTTGCTGGAAATGCTTTAACAAAGCCTACTTTTTTTTGAGAATCTAATAAAGTCTCATCTAGAGGCTCTCTATGAAGAAATTAAGGAAAACTCCACCATGTCGGTGCGTCGCCGTCCTTGATTTACTCCACTGTCCTCTCAGGCTGGTCGTAATGGTAGTATCATAGCTAGTACCATGCATGCCAACTAGGCAATTTTGATGAGGTGTCATAGCATTGAATGAAGAAAGAGAGGGTGTAGTATCATATCATGATACTGTATCATATTAAATGCTATGCTACTTTGTGTCATGCATGGCAATAAATAGAATACTACATGATACTAATATAGCATAATACTAGTATATGATACTCCCTATTACAACCAGCCTCAGGTCACCCGGCATTTTCAGGCATGAAGATAAGCGTCTTCTTTCTTTGGCCCTTCTATGTATCCGATGGGTGCATGCGTATTCAATCTGTGCAGTTAGATGACACCACTACACTACACACGGTAGGAGTTATCTTGAACGAAACACAAGGGAAAAAAGTCGGACCCGACAAAGGTCGTCCAGGTAGGTAGCCATCTTTGAATTGAATGAGTGTTCTCCAAAGTAGCTAGCTCGGTGAGATGATCGACATCTTCATCACGAACCCTATATAAACGCCAAGCTTCATGAGCTCAGTCCCAGCACACACACACCCACAGTTCCACCTAATATAATGGCCGGAAGCGCGAGCGCCACTCCGGTCCTCCTTGTCATCGTAGTCGCGGCCCTCGCCGCGGGGGCCAGCGCGACATCGAAGCTGACGCCGCTCAGCATCACCAACCGGTGCTCCTTCACGGTGTGGCCGGCGGTGGCCTCCGCAGGCCTCGGCACCGAGCTCCATCCAGGAGCCAACTGGACCGTGGACGCGTTGGCGATCCACTACACCGCGGACATATGGGGGCGCACGGGCTGCTCCTTCGACGCGGCAGGCAGGGGGCGGTGCCAGACGGCGGACTGCGGCAGCGGGCTGCGGTGCCGGAGCACCGACCCTGCGGCGCCGGCGACCAAGGCCCAGGTCGCCATCTCCGAGGGCTTCTACCACTACGGAATCACGTTGGACAAGGGGTTCAACCTGCCCATGGATCTCACGTGCAGCTCCGGCGACGCGCTCCGGTGCCGGGAGGACGGGTGCCACGACGCGTTCCCGTACGTGAAGTACAACGACCACTCATGCACCGCCGCCGGCAGCCGGCTCCAGATCGTCTTCTGCCCATGATGAGCTAGCTAGCGGCAGAACGTAAACATATAACCTACACATATACTACGTGTAGTAGTACATACTCAGACGTGTCATGTATTCTCAGCGGTACGTACGTACACGTATGAACGCACGTGCGAGTTTCCAATAAAATTGCCATGTGTGATGTGCCTTTGATATATTGTTCTTTTTTATCGAATGCCTTTGATATATTGTTCTTTTTTATCGAATGCCTTTGATATATTGTTTATGGGAATTTACACACAAAAGAACGTGAATTTGAACAAGATAGCCTACAAATATGTATGTTTTTCCACACACAAAAAATATATGTATGTTCTAACATTGGGACTCAGCTTGAATTTTTTTTTTCGAGGGGTGGGACTCAGGTTGATGGTCAGGGTCTCAAATGGCATGGCCACGATTTTTAGAGAGGTTGAGCCAGGATATGTGATTGGGGCATGATACCAGCTTTTTTTTCCAACCGGGCTCACAACCCCTTTCGATTAATTTTGCAATCAACGGAAATACATCAGTCTGGTTTCAAGTTCTGTATCGAGCATCCACTTGCTAAAGATAACTAGACTGAAAGATAGAACTAACCGCAAGCAAAATGAGACTGAAAGAGGAGAGCAGGTTGGTGCATCATCAGGAAACCCATCGTCGAACAATCCTGGAACGGACCATCCGCCGTGGCGCGAAAACCTGATGACACTTACAAGCAACTGCCCAACCAAAATACCCAAGGTTCCCAGGATGAAACTGCCAGTAAGCCTCTACAACTAGGCGAACCACAACCAGGAAGCACAATTGCCAGCGGGCATCAAACCCCAGTGGACAACAGAATGCAAAAGGAAAGATCCAAGCGCCGATTTTATCTAACCAATCTGGATCCCATCTCTGTCTCCCAAGAGAAGTCTGCCACGAGGGAAGGACCTATCTGCCAGCGCAGCAGCCGCGTGAGCTAACCTCTTCACTCCAGCTTGGAACTTCACCTTCTCATCCTCCTTAAGCAGACCTGCCCAATATAACATAAACGAGCAGGCAGTGAAAACAGCCTCCAGAGGGGTACGAGCAACATATTTTTCAAATGTAACTTTATTGCAGAGATTTCAGATCCCCCAACATATGGCAGCAATGATCATCATATAAAAGCGCTTCCCTCCTACGAAAAACTTATAGAGCCAAGCGAAACTTTGCCAAAGAGATCGAGGACAGTGAGAAGTCCCAACCGTCATACCCAGCACCGCCCAAGCTGAACGAGCAAGTGGGCAAGTAAAGAACAAGTGATTTGCTGTTTCTATATCCGTGCAAAAAGAACACACAGGATTGCCAGGCTATTTCCTAGTACACATATTATCCCGAGTCAGCACGGCATTCTGAAACAGTTGCCATCAGAAGATTAATCTTTAGCGGAATAGGTGCTTTCCACACCCATTTATAGTTGGGGCCTGATAAGTTTCTTTCCAACCATTCATAGATAGATTTAGTAGTAAATTTTCCCTTACTACTAAGAGCCCATGCAATTTTATCTGGAGAATCATTCAGCAACAACTTTTTTGCTTCCATTACCATCCAAGCCCACTGCTCACCCAACACGCCAACCGGTCTGCGTCTAAATCCCAGTTCATAGTTATTCGCAACCCAGGATGCAACAGTGCACTCTGGATCTTGACAAATACTAAACAGATCAGGGAAACGATCTTTCAACGCGACATTCTCAACCCAAAGATCGTACCAGATTCTAGTGAGGTTTCCACTTTCAATAATGATTTTTCTACCAGCCATATACGACTCTTTGACTTTCATGATAGCCTTCCAGCAAGGAGAATCAGAGAAACGACTCTGAATATTAGCTACAGTCTTATTTTTGAAATATCTTGCCTTTACTATACGCTGCCATAACCCATCACTCGTTTCTAGTTTCCACCACCATTTAACGAGCAGGGCAATATTCTGTTTATGAAGATCTTTGATACCCAGACCCCCAATCTTCTTAGATCGACATATTCTTGTCCACTTAACCATATGGTATCCATGTTTCTTGATTTTCCTCCTCCAAAAGAAACGTCTACGGTGTTTATCCATCCTCTCAATAAAAGTTTTATTGAAGAGGAACATCGACATGAGGAACGAGGGAATCCCATCTAGGATGGAACCCAACAAAGCGAGCCTGGCCCCGGAGGAAGACGCATAGGCGACCCAGGCATCAAGCTTTTTGACCATTTTTCCATCAAGGAAGTCTAAATCCGCATTCTTGAGATTGGAGTATGTAACTGGGACTCCAAGATATTTCATAGGTAAGGAGCCCACTTGGCATCCAAACATGTCAGCATAGGCTAAATCAATATCATTATCACCTCCAATACTAAAGATCTCGCTCTTCTCAAAATTGATTTTTAATCCTGACATAATCTCAAAAAGATAGAGCAAAAGTTTGACGTTGATGGCTTTGTCTATATCATGTTCGAAACAAAGCACCATATCGTCAGCGTATTGCAGGATGCAAACCCCATCCTCAATAAGATCAGCAGCTAACCCTTTGATAAGACCGTTTTTTTGGGCCGTAAGCACCATTTTGGTCAGGCAGTCGGCTGCAAGATTGAACAAGAAAGGGGAGTGAGGATCACCCTGCCTTACCCCCTTAGCACTTTGGATGTATGGTCCTACCTCATCATTGATCTTGACACTTACCGTGCCGTTTCTAAGAATTTGAGAGACCAACCTGCACCACTTAGAGTTAAACCCTTGTTTCACATGGCAATCGAGTAAAAAGTCCCAATTGACTTTGTCATAAGCTTTCTCGAAATCAAGTTTAAGAATCACCCCCACGCGCTTTTTAGTATGAGTATAATGTAAAATCTCATGTAAAGACAGAATGCCATCAACAATATGCCTCCCTTTAATGAAAGCATTCTGTTGAATACTAAACAGCTTATGAGCATATTTGCTGGCCCTAATATCCATGGCTTTGGTAAGTAATTTGTAGGGGCAACGTAACCAGCATATGGGCATGTATTGCTAGATCCTATTAGCATCTGTCGACATAGGCAACAGAGTTATGATGCCATAGTTTAATTGTTGCACATCCAACTTGCCTTCATGAAACCACTCAAACAGACGCAATAGATCCTAAGCTACCACCTCCCAGCAATGTTGATAGAATTCAACACGGATATCGTCTGGCCTAGGGGCACGATTATATTTCATATCAAACAAAGCCTTTTTGATCTCATCAAGAGAAAGGGTCGAGTCAAGTCATCATTGTCATCAGGAGTAATTTTCTCATCCCGAGACCATAATGTTGCATCAATCTGGCAAAGATTGCTAGGAGCCGGTCCAAATAGGGCTTTATAATAGTCAGTAGCATGGGCAAGTAGGTTTTTGGTCCCTTCTATAGTTACAGACCCACATTCTAGAGAAATCATGGAGTTTTTCCTACGTCGCCCATTAGCTACTTTATGAACCCCTCAGTGCTATGGAACTCAAGGTGCCCGGGTCCATCACTATTGAGGTAGAGCAACATGTGGGGACAACCAACATGGGATCTATGTCCCGCACTCCTCCACATCCCTTCCTCATGCACTCCAGTTTTACAACGAAATTGCTTCACGCGCGACACCTCGGCACGATCTGCAAATGATACCTCCCTCCCAACAGCGCTACCGTCAGCTCGAAAGAACAAAAAAAGGCAGAGCTACCGTCCAGCCCGGCTCAACCCAAACCCAGACCTGATCTGACTCCCTCCATAACCCTTTCACCCCCTTCTCCCGTTCCCTCCACACCTATGGCGTCTTCTCATCTTCTCTCCAAAACCTTCACGCCTCCTCCTCCCTCCAAATCTGGATCCTCTCTTGCTGATTTAAAGATCATTCTTGCTCACGTAATCTGCAGCCACTACACACAACTTTGATTACAAGGGCAAGAAACATGAGGTCTGTACAATTCTTGGCTTATCTGTTGCATTGATTGGATCCAATCTATACATATTCCTGGCATAATATTGTCCTCCCACTACAATATCTCTGATTGCATTGATTGGATCCAATCTATACATGTTCCAGACTTAATATTGTCCTCCCACTACAAAATTTGATTCCATTGATTAATCCAATCGATACATGTTCCAGACTTAGTATTGTCCTCCCACTACAACATCTCTGATTGCATTGATTGGATCCAATCTATACATGTTCTAGACTTAATATTGTCCTCCCACTACAACATCTTTGATTGCATTGATTGGATCCAATCTATACATGTTCTAGACTTAATATTGTCCTCCCACTACAACATCTGATTGCATTGATTAATCCATCTATACATGTTCCAGACTAAATATATGCCTCCCACTATACAACATCTCTGATCTTTTTGTTGGCAAATTTAGGTACTCAATCGAGCCAAGTTGACCTTTGGATGAAGTGGCGGAACGAAATGGACTAGTACTTAACGAAGACGAATGAAGATGCTTTCATCGTCGGGGAGATTGGGGATTCTTTAGATGAACGACTCGTTGAGCGGATCATGACATTGGAACCCAGGAAGGGGATGGTGTTCGATAGTGAGGATGATGTTCTCAGGTTCTACAAAGGTTATGCTAAAAAGAATGGCTTTGGTGTGATGAGAAGGACGACCAGACACGGAGAAGATAACATGGTTATTTATTTTACTCTCGCTTGTAGCAGACGAGAAAGACTCAATGCTCACTAGTAGAAAAAGGGTCAAAAGTGAAGCACATTAGTGCCAGTTTGAATTTGAGCCGGCTCTAATGTGTCCATTAGTGCCGGTTCCAACGGCTAGGCGGGCGGACATCAGTAGTACCGGTTCGTGGCGAACCTTTAGCACCGGTTCGTGCCACGAAATGGTACTAAAGTGAGTGGTGGCAGGATGTTGTCAGTCCGGGGCCCCTCTAGCACCTTTAGTACCGGGTCGTATCACGAACCGGTACTAAAGGTTGTCCTACATACACCCTTCGTCCACCCGAGCTCGCTCTATTCTTCCCCTTTCCCCTCTCC